GGAATGATACACTAGATTAGAACTATCCACCATAGAGGGTAACCTAAATTTACCTGGTGTTTAGTCCGCAACTACGCATCAGCCCTAAACCACTTTGTGCAGCACGTGGGCTACACAACAGGGGTGGGGGTACCCATCCCCCAACCCAGGTGCAGGTGGGATTCGATCCCAAGTCTCCACTATGACCTGTAGGAGACCTTACCAACCAGCTGGTTGGAACCTTGCCTTTGTGCTGGTTGTTTCATCAATAGATGTTAACCGTTCAAAAATAGAATTTAGTATAGAACTTACCCCAATAACGGATCACTATTGATGCATCGCAATGCAGAAAACAAATTAATTTAGTGGGTTATTTTGCCCTGAACAAAGTTGCTATTTGAAGGATTGTTAATTGTTTAGTCTTAGTTTAGGAAAAGTGTAAATACAAATATGTACAGTGCAAAACTACTCCCATTTAGATAATTTATACTTTATTATAAGGTAATTTACAAATATTTAATTTTTAATAAATTTATTTTATATACTATATAGTACATTAATTAGAAATTTTATATTTCCTTTATTAATTGGCTTTTATGTTTAAAAGGATATAATAAAGAAAGAGAAAGAGCATATGAATATAAGACTTTATTATTTATAATTATTTATAACTATTTATAAATTAAGTAATTCTTTAGACTTGAAAACTTCCTTTTTTTCTCACTTCACTTCCCTAATGTAATTGTTAAATTGATAAAACATTTAATGTTCAAAATAGCAAATTATTAAAGAAATAGTTTGATTTGGATATTGTATGTCAAAAGTGCATTGCATTGAATAGATATGTGCCAGGGGAAAATGGTTGAACAAAAAAAAAACATTATTTGACAAGGATTTTACAATTTCAAAAGTAAATAAAGAAAATTAAATAGTTAAATAGAAACAGATTTATGGTATAAAACTATACTTTTGATATCAATACCATGAAGTGTACCTTAATCTACAAATGTTCACCTTAAGCAATACAACCGGGGTGGTGCATTTTTGCACTACTAGTATCAAAGTTGTGTTCTTATATTAAAATTTGTAAATTTATTAAGTTTTGAATAAAGAGATAAAGAAAGAGAGAGAATTTCCTTTTACATTATAGGTTGCATGCTATAAGGTGCAGAGGAATGGTTACTTCTAAATTTCCATTTTAAAATCCGATCTAGGAAAATCTTCCCAATTATGAATAAGATTTTGGGGTTACTATCCATTTAGTTATGAAATAAAATTGAATCTTGGTTTTTTAGATTTCTCAGAATTCATTGTCTCTTAGTGTTAAAAAGGATGGTTTTTCCTTAATGAGGAACCACTAGAACTTTTCCAATTACACTAATTAAATTATACAAGGAAATTAAGGCATGAAAATTTCTGCTATCATGGCTAAGAAGAATTTAGTGTTAATAACAGAAGGACAAGGTAGGTGTTAGATGATTTGTTGGTTTTTTAAGCTTAAAAGGCGTAGTTGTTCATAAACGCTCAGATTACAAATTAACCAGGAAACACAAATAACAACAAAGAGAAACAAAAATACAGTGTTAGAGATCAAACTGAACTTGTTGAACACACAAATGTAATCATGAGAACAACTCAAAAAACCTTTGCAAACGGCACAGAATTCATGAAGCGCCAAAAAGGACCATTTGCCTCCAATGGAGATCAACTTCAGCAAGCGTAACTCTCCTCGGAACTGAACTTAAGAGCTTGAAGAGAAAACTCACCATGACAAGCCCCACAACGTAACCATGGCTATACAAAAAAGAAAATGAGAGATTTCAGAGGAGGCGGGAGGGGAAGCCAAAGCACTTCAATATATTTCAATTGAAGGGTTTTGGGTCCTTGGTTGTTTTTGTAGGATGCTTTTAACATCAAACGCACTTCAACATTTCTCATTGTTTTTGTAGGATGCTTCTGGGTCCGGTTCCCAGATCGGATGGTCCAACGGTCCAGTCCGAATGGATGGCCCTCTTTAACAAAAATAAATAAATAAATAAACAGCCAAAACCGTTGTCTGGGTTGACATTTCGACCGCTTGAGTCAGTAGTTCACTGACCAAATCAACAGTTTCCGGCCAAAAAACAACTTTGAGGTGAAACGGAACCAATCAAGTGACCGTTTTCTGGTTTTTCTAATCCAATCATCCGATCCCGTCCGGTTTTGAAAACATTGCATTCATGAAGGTCAAGGTTGAAAGGTTGTGGTCTCTCAATTCAAGTCCAAACAAGCTTTTTCTATTATCCTTGAGATTAGTTTCTATTAAAGATCAGCGATGCTCATTAAAGGAGTACTAAAGCCAAGTGCTAACAACTATACAATTGCTATACCAAACTTATGGAAGGCTTGGATTAAGTGCAAGTAAAGAAATGGCAGAGACAATGAAAAAAAAACATAATTAAACAACTAAATCTAAACAAATTCCATATATCAATCACAATGAAATCTATGCTATTATATTTTATTTTAGAAACAAGGTTTAAAATATTGAAATGTATCGGTGCATATCGATTTTTAACCTCACATTGTTTACTTATAATTAGTTATGTGTTTTTCAATTGTAAAAGACATCATATGACATAGACTGACAAATTGTCAAACCAAAATGATAATTTAAAAAGAATTTCCCTCCATTGATAGAAGCACTCACAATTTTCTTTTCTGGTATGGACTATGGAGAGTCTTGATACTTTGAATATTATCTAGAGCAATAGAAGTATGAATTAAATGGTCCCACTAAGAAAATGAAACTAAACTAAGAATTCATATAAACAAATTGAAAACTGAATAAAACTGAAGACAGAGATGAAAAGTAATACCCATTTTGCCAATTCTTCCACATCTTTCTTAAGAACTTCCTCTTCCTTGTCTACAAGGGCTTTCTTTTGTTGCCATGTTAGCACTGCAGCATAAGCTCCTACCTTTTTTTTCTTTGCACTTGTCTCACCAAACATTATAAAAATGACATAGAAACCTAGGTCAGTGATGGGTGGTGGTGGTGGTAGTGATAACAGCAATAGCCAATGTTGATGAGCTTATTATATATAGTCAAGTTTATTAGGAGAGAATACAGGAAGAAAGTAGTAAAGTAATGAAGGAAACAAAGAATGTTTAAAACTTGGGGTATTTAAAGAGAAAAATTAATGTAACAGTTCCTCAAAAGACACTAAAACAAGAAGCAAGCATGAAACATCGGAAGTTGCCGTTACTTATTTACGGGGGAGGGGTATCCAACGTCTAGAACATGTGACGAGCAAGACAATGAAAATTAACAATAACAAAGAAAGCAATAAAGTTACTTTGATCAAATAAGAAAGTAATTTAATGCTACATCTTTCTAAATAAATTCTAAAGTCGTCCTAAGATGCATGAACCATACCATAAAAGTTAAAAGGTCGGCTCTATGTTCAAAACCGACTAAGATTTTTTGTCAGAAATGTGATCCATTGTCATTACCTTTGGGTACAAGTAACTATGTTTCGCCTTCAAAATTAGAAAGCTGTAATTTATCAATTCTTTAATGGCCTTACATAAGGGCAGTTTGAGGTTTAAAAATATAATATCATGAGACTCTTTTCTAAAGTTGTTCACTGACGGAATGCTACCGATGGAAGCAATGTTGTGGAATTTGAAAGTCCGGAGAGAGAGTATTTGTTGCAAATTTGGTTCAAAATATCGATACATCCGATACGTTGATAGGACTGGTAAGGGCATATCAGGCAATATCAATAGTCTTTTGTTTCTTTTTTTATTATTTTTTTTCAAAACCGGTTTAAGGGGGTCGGTTTAAGGCTCCACCTCCTGAACCAGTCAGAACCCCGATAACACCCCCTGTAGGGGTGTATTGGGGAGCTCCCGAAATGATACATATCGATACTTTGAACCTTGGTTGCAAATGAAATTCAATGGACTAAGTTTAACTACCCAAAGTATAGGGTGAGAATGAGCATGTGGTATCTTTTTTTATTAAAATGCCTTCATTTTTAAATTTAAACCCTCTCTAATTGTAAGGGCAAAAAAATATAATTTTAATCCTCTTTGAATCTTATATTTAAGGTATTAACTCTTGTTCTCTCACATTAAATCCTGTATTTAAGGTTCTTTTCCACTAATAAATTTTATTAGGTAGATAAATGTCCAACGCATTTAACAATATGAAAGCCATATTGTTTAAAATCAATTAAAAATAAGAAATTATCTTCCATTCAAGTGGAGACTAGGCAATTTAACCATTAAGGTCAAATGCTCCACACATGATGTCATAGTTGAATAATAAATTTTACAAAAAAATAAAATATAAATGAATACAAAAAAGTAAAAAAAAAAAAAAACACATCCCTAATATTTTATATTATATATAATCATATAAAAAGCATCATAAACAAGAATCACTTTTATTGATGACAGAAATGGAATACAAAGTTTATAACCAACACAAAAATAAAATTGTTTTATTATTTGGTGGTCCGTCATATGTGTCAACTTTTGATGTCATAATTAAATAATAAAATCTCTAATGCTATATTTTTATATTATATTAAATAAGAATAAATGTGAAAATAAAAATTATTTGTCAACACAGATATAAATAATGTAAAAAATTGGACACATTATTGGTATCGTTATCATTAAAATTACCGCGTGCAAAGCTCATATTCATTTGCTAATGATTTGAAAACAGCCAAAAGTGCATATTCTTTTAAATCAGGCTTGAGCCTTCAGCTAAGAATAGAATCAAAACAAACCTGTAGATAAAAAATAAAAAATAAATAAAAAAAAACTAATAATAATGAAAAAAAAAAATCTGTAGATTGACTTTGGCTGGTCTTGGATGGAGTAAACTTTTTGTTTTGTTTCTACTGGTAACCGACTTTTGTATCGATAAATCATGAAGTCTCTAGCTTATACGTCATACCAAAAACTTTGGCCAAGGAAGAAGCAAAGCATGCCGAGAGGAACAGCTTTCACGAAATTCCCTATCAGAATAGAAATTACAGGCATGCAGCTTTTGTATGATCTCCAATAAGTCAATAACAGCAACGAGATTGGTAAACAACTGCAACTGCAGCATCTTCTCTAATTGTATGGAAGCAGCTCCACAACATGATCTCTACATATTTCGTTTGCAAGCTGAGATTCTCAATGATAGTTCAAGATTCCACAAGGTTCATTGCATTATTAATTCAAAGACTGGAAACCCAGCACTTCGGGCGGCTACAGAAAATCAAGCTTCGCACTAGAATCTCTTGGTCCTGTGCACTAGAGAAGATTATAATGACAACCATCACTTAGATGGCTGCAAGTTACACCATAGTGGTCTTGCCGTTCATTCTCGAACAACCAATGTCCATCATTTTAAATATGTTTTCACTTTGATTTCAGATTCGCAATCTACAAGTACAGATACCTTTCCTCTTGTACCAGTTGCCACCATTAGCAAGTGTTCGTATCTGCATCAACTGGTAATGGCATTGTGATAGAGACAGCTTCCTTATGGTCACCCTGTTTCTTGTCCTTTCTGCTCTGCTTAAGTTTATTTGAAGCTTGGTCGGCTTTGGAAACAATCTTTGAGACTGTAAATCCTGCAACTTCAAATATCTGTGCTCTCTGTGGGATCATTGAATTACGCAGTGTAACATCTACCCCATCATATGTCCAAACACCTAACGTTGCCTCCCCCTTAAGTCCCAGGGCAACCCAGCCAAGCCCAGCAGCAGCAATATCTACAGAGCTCACATCCCAACTGCTTCCACAGATATGAAATTCCCTTTTCATCCATTTCCCAAGCTCCTCAACTCTTTTCTCACCAATAGGTGGCTGCAAGGATAATTGGATAATCACACTTTGATGTGTACTTTCATGAAACTAAAAGATGAAATAGAGACGAGGTATTCTGGAAGCATCAGCAAACTATGAAGAGAAATACCTGTAACTGATGACCAAAATGATATTCTAGCATTGTACTTGCATTTTCTGTTCTTCCCATATGTAGTGGAAGATAAGGAGATGCCCATACTGTGAGATAAATAGAATCTACTGATGCTTCTTCTACATCTACCCTCATAAGTCCAGCAATATGTACCGAATAACCAGTCTGTCAATGACAACATTATAACAAAATCAGAATGGAAATGACAGAGGAACAGGATGAAAACATAGAAATTTATCTTGGGTTGGAATGTTAGAGTTGAGTATTATCCAGCAATTGTAAGTGCATTCATAGAACATGAGCATTTTCCAAAACCAGTATGAAATCCCCATTACCCAGTCAACTCAATCTACCATTCCTAGTGTTTTAAAAGCGCGAGGCGCAAAAAAGGCACAAGGGCCAATTTGTGCCTGAGGCGAGAGGCGCAAGGCAAGGCACACACACGCCTTTTTGAAGCATGGTGCAAAAATAAATAAATAAATAAGTAAAGAGCTAAAAAATAAAAAAAAATAAAAAAAATTGTTAGAAAATTCAAAAAATGCCAAAAAAATTCAAAAAAAATCCAAAAATTAAAAAACAAAATGCAAAAAAAAATAAAAAATAAAAAATATTAAACATAATATTAATAAGAAATATAAACTTAAATTTTAAAATTAATGGTTTAAAAAACCTAAAATCTAAAATTAAAATACATAAACATAACATGTAAAGCATATTCAAATGAAAATTTAAAAATAAAATCAAACATTTAAAACATTTTCAAGCATGTAAAGCCCACAATCTCTTTTTTTCCTTAGTTGCATTACTTCAAGTAGCTAATTTGATGTAAAACATATTACATTCCTGATTTTACAAGTCACCTTAGCCATGCCCCTCAAGGCAAGCCCAAACAAGTCCATGTTCGGGTCTTAAATTCTTAATTCTCACACAAAAAATAATGATTTTAAAATTTTAATTGCCTTTTAAGAAGATGTTTTATTAAGATGAATGAATGGACAACATTAGCAAATAGGGGGTGGTCACGCCTGGGCCAAGGTGCAAGGTGCATCACGTGCACGCCTAGGCACATCAAGCCTGTGCCTAGGACCTAGGTGAGGCGCCCACCCTAAAATGCACCTCGCCTGTGCGCCTAGAGGCGCGCCTTTTAAATCACTGACCATTCCTACCCAGACAAATAGCTTTGTCAATTTGGATTATATGTTGGAGTATAAGTTTTCAACATACAAAGGTAATACAATGAGGCCATATATTTTGCATTACAGTGATAAGGAAAATATGATGACTAACAATTCAACACTTTTACATGGAATAACATGGTCACCAGAGATGAAGACTCATCAACCTCTCATGCCCCTTGCCAAAGTAAAGTTGTTATTCAAAATGTGGAGTAATTAACAGAAACAAACAAAATGCCATGGAGACCCAAAGAACCCTATCAAAAAAACAATAATGATACTCCCTCAGAAAAGTATGTTAGTTTTGTTTAGGAAGTGAATAAGATACAGTTTTTGGAATTGATGAAGAGGAGAGGGTTAGTAAGGCTGAAACCACATCTTCTGAATAATTTAATTTTATGATGTTTGTAATCTAGATATCATAAGTATGAAGGGGAACACGGTTTTCAAATCATGGTGGGAGGTGAGTTTGTTCTTTGAGGGAATGAGAGTTGATTTAGTATGGGTAGTTCTGGGCTAATTGATCTACTTTTGAAGATTAAGAAGGCAAGTTCATAAATATATTCAATACAGGGTTTACTTATGGTTGTTCTGGGGGGAGGTATTACAAATTAATGGTGTTCAATCAACACACCATTCCTGACTCCCCCTGAGCAACATACCTAGGGGGTTGCTCCATATCTACCTCATCTTAATAATAACCATGCAGAAAAGCATTTTTAACATCAAGCTGAAATAGGGGCCAATCAAAGTAGGCAGCTAAAGAAATGAGAACTCATACAAAACCTATTTTAGCCACGAGAGAAGGTTTTTGAATAGTCCACACCGTAGGTCTAAATATACCCCTTAGCAACAAGTCGAGCTTTGAACCGCTCAATACTACCATCTTGATGGTATTTAACGGTATATACCCATCGACAACCAATGGCCTACTTCCCAAGTGGTAAGGAAGTGAGATCCCAAGTATTACTGGATTGAAGAGCATAAAATTCTTCATCCATCGCCTTCTTCTAATTAGGAGATGAGAGGGCTTCCTGTAGAGAACACGGTAGAGAAACAGATGATAGAAGGGAAATGAAACGTTGATGTGAAGGAGACAAGTGAGCAAAGGAAACATAACGAGAAAGGGAGTGATCTGTGCAAGTACGCTAACCCTTACAAAGAGCAATAGGAAGATCAAGATCTGAGGATGGTGGATCTATCAATGGCAAAGACTCTGGTGGCATGTCAAAAGCTGGAGTTGGATCAACTACTTGTGACAATTCTGGTTGTCTATCACGTCTAGAGTACACTCTATGAATAGATGGTCGAATAGGCTCCTCCAAAGTAGGCAGGGGAATAAAGACATCACCATATTCAAAGGGAAGAGGAATAGAAGGAGAAGGTTCAAGTCTAGAGAAATAAGGTAACTCTCAAAGAGGTAACATTCAGAGCAACAAAATCTTTTTGTAAAACAGGATCATAGCATTTGTAACCTTTTTGAGTACAAGAGTAACTAGGAAAAACACATCTAATAGTTTTGGAATCAAGTTTATCATGACCTAGACCCAATTTGTGAACTAAACACATACAACCAAACACACAAGGAAGAGAAAAAGGCGAGGTGGAAGGAAACAAGATAGAGAAAGGTGACTCACCATTTAGGATTGAAGAGGGCGTATAGTTTATGAGAAAACAAGAGGTGAGAACTGCATCACTCCAATAGATTTTAGGGATTAACATTTGAATCAACAAGGCTCGAGCAGTTTCAATCACATGACGATTTTTCTTCTCAGCCACACTATTTTGCTAAGGAGTGTGTGAACATGAGGACTGATGTATAATACATGAGAGTCAAAATAATACTGAAAATTATTATGAAAGTATTCCTTGGCATTATCAAAATGAAACACTTTAATGCATTCACCAAATTGATTCCTTATCTCAACATGAAAAGAAAGAAAAATAGAGAACAATTCTAAACGATCCTTCATTAAGTAAATCCATGTCATTCTTGAATAGTCATCAATAAATGTACAAAATATCTAAATCCATTATAAGATGACACACGACTAGGACCCCAAACATCTGAGTGGACTAAACCAAAAGGACTCAAGACTCTCTTATCATCCCTAGGAACAAAAGACACTCTATGATGTTTACTTAACTAACATGACTCACAATCTAGCTGAGTTACAGACTCCAAGGTTGAGACTTACTTTTTCAAAACACACAGAGAATGATGACCAAGATGATAATTCCACTGATGTGGTGTAAGAGAGGAATGAAGAGCCTTCTGAGGACAATGGTCATCCAAGTAGTACAGTCCTCCAACTTCATGACCGCCACCAATCGTCTTCCATGTCTTGAGATCCTAAAAGACAATATGAAGGATAAAATGTTACTGAACAATGGAGGGTTTGAGTAAGCTTACTTACGAACAAGAGACTAAAAGGAAACTTGGGAACATAAAAAATAGAGTATAAACTAAGGTCAGAACCAAGAGACACATTACCGGTACCAGTAATAGTAAAAGAATAACCATCAGCTAAAGTAATGGTTTGAGAGTTAGAAGGTGGTGACAATGATACAAACATATCTAAGGAGCTAGTCATGTGGTCTGAGGCTCCAGAATCAATTACCTAGGGTAAAGGTGAAGAACTAGAAACAAGGCAAGTAGTACCTGACTTTACAAGTGTAGTAGTGGTAGAACTAGAAGAGGCAAACTAGTTAAACTTTTCATACTCCTCACGTGAGATAGATATTGTCTTTATCCTTACAAACATTAGAAGCATGAGCATCTTCAGTCACACTAAGACTGAAGATGGAGGGCCATAAAAATCATAACAAAAGTTGACTGTGTGACCTTCTCATTCACAATGTAAGCACTCACGAGCTGAATCACGACCACCACCAAACTCTCTACCACCTCCTCGTACACCTCTGGGCCCATAGCCAAAACCCCTCACATTACCTCCACCTCTACCACACATATTTCTACCAAGAAAACCTCCTCTGGGAACCACCATGGCTGATCTCTCTAAAGGTGGGGGATGATCACTATGTGGATTTGAGGCTCTCCTTATGCGAGATAAAACCTCAGACAATGATGGAAGATCACTAATCCCTAAGATTTGGGCCCGCAGTGATTCAAATTCAGACCTCAACCTAGATAAAAATCTTACAACATCTAGATGTTCTCTTTGTTCTTGTTGAGTCTTCAAATCAATGGATAGGGGTTGATAAACATTGAGCTCATTCCTTAAACTTTTTAGAGAAACATAATATTCTTCAACACTTTTATCCCCTTGTTGAAGAGAAAAATAGTCTTGGTATAACTGGTAAATTCTTGTGACATTGTCTTGTCTAGAGTACAATTACTTGGCATGATCCCAAATCTCCTTGGTCATGTCTAGAAACATAAGGTTCACATTAATGTGATTCTCCATACTATTCCAAAGGGATGTCATAATTTGGACATTCTCTTCTCTTGTACCAATTCATTGTACCCTTCTAATTCACTTTTCAATGGACCCTCCTTGATGTACTTCAACTTGCCTCTTGCAATGAGAGATACCTTAACCGACTTGGCCCATGGGATATAATTAGTACCATTGAGTTTCACCATAGTTAATCGAGAAGTCATGAAATCTGATTACACAACAATTGTAGGTTTAGTGCTACTATTTGATAAAGCCATGAGTGAGAAGAGATAACTGATTTGTCACCTAGGCAAACTGTCAAACAGCTGGTATGCAACTACTGTAACACACCTTTTCCTTTAGGAAAAACACCAAGAATCATCAGCCCTCTACTTTAGAAACACTTGGGAAAGATTACACACTTACCACAAGGTGTCACCACACCACAAACCATTACAAAATCACCACACATTGAGGAGCACCTACCTCACAACTTGAGACATCACAGAGCTGCCCTCTTCGAATTACCGAATAGAGGGCTTTTAGAAAAACACCACCAACTCACACAACACTGCAACTTGAGGCATTA